AGGGCATATAGGGAAACTATAAATTTAGATGTGGAAATATTAAGTTACTAAAATGAACTATATGCATGGAGTATTAAAATGGATACTAAGTTTAAAAATTGGCGTGTAGTTTTTATGTATAAATATGATCAAATATATTTTTACTGACATACACATATATAAAAAACTATCTATATACTAAAGTATAGGCATATTTGTATTTATTATAATTCAAGATTCTAGATGTAAATTAACAAAACCACTACCAGACTAGATCACGTCAACCTACATACAAATAAAAACAAACATATGTAGTATTGCCTATATATATTAACACTGGTACTATAAATATGCACATAAAATCAACAAAAAGTATATAGACATATGAATACAAGCATGAGCATATTTTCTTTATATCTAAGTCCAGAAACAGATATTCCTGGATTGTCAGCCCAACTGTTTGTAGGAGTATAGAATCATAGAATCATAGAATCATAGAATCTTAGGGGCTGGAAGGGACCTCGAGAGATCATCTAGTCCAACCCCCCTGCCAGACCAGGGTCACCTAGAGTACATCTGTAAGAGCTCGGTTCTTATGATGTCACATTGCAACAACTTATGATAACAACTAATTATCAAGCTGCACCTACAAAATATTGCCAAATAAAAATAGCTGGAACACCTCAACACGTATTTCGCCAGTATCTCTGCAAAGAGATTTAAATATGAATAGTTTTTAAAATTCATGATATACATATCAGAGAAGCAGATACATTTTTGTGCTCTGTTTATAGTTGCTGTGGTGTTGACAAAGTCTTCTATCTACCTTTACTCAGTCAAAGTAGGCTTATAAGAGTTGATTGGAAACAATTTATGGCTGCTTTTCCCACAAAAAAAAAAATTATTAAAAATTGTGAATAATTGAATCAACACACTGTAGAAAAACAAATCATATGGTTTCTGCTGCTAAACTACACCTAAAATACCTGCCATCAGTCAGCTGCCTTTTGTTCCTGGAACTGCCGAGTGCCTTTCAGAGGGCTGCCCTGCCTTCATAGACATGCCAAATACACACCAGCACTAATAAAATTCAAATAAAAACATGGAGAAACACAGCTAACCTACAGCCGTTCATTTCAACAAAAGATCTTTCTTGACTAAGAAATACATAAATTGTGCTAAAATTATTTTTTGCCAAGAATATATGCATCAGTGGTCATACTCTCAGTAAATATGAAAGAAAGTAAAAATTTTGGTATCAGTGGAGTTATGCTGCCTTTACACCATACAAAAATCTGGCTTACTGTCCGTTTTCCTCTTTTCTTACGCCTCTTTGTAGCTCTCCACGAATATTAAATCAGCGATATCTTTCCAACCACACCTTGTAACTTCGTTCTCCCCCAAACATTATCTCTTGTTCAAAATAACTCTTATCATCTTCTCATTTTTCCTATCACTTTCTTGAGAATAAATAAACCTACAAAATAATAGTAATTGTATTAGTTTTTTCTGAAAAAAAAAAAATGTCCTTGTCTTTTCCTTTTCAATGCAAGAAGACAAAAAAGTAAAGAAACAGTATCAAAAGGAAACTAGGCATAAATATTATCTTTGAGATAATATGGTGGTGTAAGCATAAGAATTTGTACTTTCCATTTTTAAAGCTCTCATTGTTTAAGCAGCTAAAACATATTTCTAATTTATCGCACAGTTTTCACCACCACCTCATAAATTCAGCATATTGCTAGGCTATTTCTTGTTCTCGTGTTTGGTAATTGGTTATCATTTTTCCATTTTTAATATGCACCTGTCTATGATCTACTTTAAAAAAACCCCAAAACACACCTATAAGCACTAAACCAACCATAAGCGTGAAGGTATCATGTTCACGTAAGCAAGCAAGGAAGGACTGCTCCTGGAAGAGCACAAGTGCTCTCAGAACCCTCTACTCCAGCTCAAGTTGAGAAAGAAAAGCACCTCTCAGGGTTGTAGCCATAGCTGCCAAAGGAAAACACTTTCTCATTCTCAGATGTCCACAACTGCTGTTGCATTGACTGTTAGACACACTTCAGTATAGACGCCTCTGGTGGACAATTGTAGAGGACTCCTAATTAAGGGGTTTCATTTTTGCCACAAAAGGAGCTAGATTGTAATGGCATCTTTTGTCCTATGCTTAATGAAGGGTGAGCTATTGCTTAAATAATTAGTAACAGTGCCGGAAGAGAATGCAAGTAATTAGCATAGCTTGACACCCAGAACAACACCAGTGGCTGTTGTTAGCATCAACAATGTGTCGATTTAAAAAGAAAAATCACAGGAAGGAACGTGTCACTTGAAGCAGCTTTGCTTTTCTTTTTTAAAGATAAAATTAACCTCTCACTTTTGAATGAATCCATTATACTATTGGCTACCAAATACTTATTCTTTCAGAATTTTTAAAAAATATTTGAGAAGCCTACCTATCAAAACCCATGTATTTTAAAAACCCACAGCAGCAATATAGCAAGCAACAACACATTTTTTCAGGTGGAGATTTTTCTGATCCACTTGAACCCTGAATTTGCCAAATGATGCATGCACATCATCTGTAGTTCAATGAAGACCATCTGTGAGCTTGTACCTGAGATTTATGTTAGCAGCATAGCCAGTGAGTCAAGAGGTCATATCACCATTTATGAAGGAGGAGGCCCGAATGTAAAAATGGACCTGAAATTCTTGTGTCTCAGCTACCACATCCTCAAATGAACAGGTAATTCCTTTACTCCTGAGGGATAAGTGTCAATTTATGGAACTGAAAATCTCATTCTTGGATTTTGATCTATAAAACAACATAAATTCTGAGATAGAAGCAATGATGAAAGATATAATTTTCAGATTACCTTCTTGTGAACAGAAAGTGGACACTGGATCTTGATGGAAACTACCTAGCCTGCTATTCCTGGGCTCAGAGAATAAGTGTGTCACAATTGCTGGCACAATTGGCATTACTGGTGTTATCATTGGCATTAGCAAAATAATATAGGCTACCTCACAGCAAAGAGGATAGTACCTGGATTTCATGTAGCCTAATAATTGTCTGTATGAACTACTTTTAGGTAGTTTAGGCACAAAGTCCACACCTCAGAAAAAAAGAAAATTTAAAAAAAATATTATAAACAATGATAGGAGTTGTCATTATAAGGAAATTATGAACATGCAATGCTAAACATTAAATTAGCACTAGAAACACTCTTCAGGGAGGCTGGCAGAAAGTATTCTATTAGGCTTCTGACAAGCTAAATGGGGTAACATCCAATGTGAATGTTGCTTGTCTGTCTGAGATACCTTTCCAGAGTTTGCCTAGGCATGTTTGCATAGAAAAGACATTGATCACGCAAAAATATCCCATTTTTTCCTTATTTGCAATGTTCTGTCAAAAATTTCAAAAGAAGATACATGACTCTTAAGACTTGTCAAGACTTGTTTCAAGACTTGTCATATGTCCATACATTAACACTAGGAAATCTTTACTATTTTTTATATCCTTAAAAATATACTTACCCAGTATTTAATGTTGAAGGTATTTCATGTTAAGCAGTGCATTCCTACTCATGTAAAGTTCCCAAACAACACGTTCCTGGCTTACTAAATAGTAGCACCTGTTAAGGATTTAAATCTGCTACATAATTGAAACGCACTGTAAATCCATGTACATTCTATTCACATTTGTAGTCCATGTCCCATTTTATCAATGGCCAAACTCTTGCATATAAAAATAACAAATCAGTTCAGAAAGCAATGAGAGATAAAAGAAAGCTATCAGGTCCAGGTAAATAAGCATCTTTCATTATATTAATATACTCACAGAATTTGAACTGCATGTTTGCTCATGCATAGAAGAACAAAATCCACACAACCTGTCTATGTAGGTTTTGCCTGCAGTCACATAAAGTTATCATAGACATGTGCAGCTATAGTTTTATCTGACGATACCTAAGAAAACCCTCCAAGTTAGTTCAACCTGATTTTGTTTCTTTTTCCACCTCTAAAATTCTGAGTGAGAAGGCTGACAGGTAAGATTTACCCTTCAATGCCTGTGGTTTCTCAGTTGCAGTCCATCTTCAAAAAAATGACCCCTCTAGACATGCAAAGGAACACACAGACTGACCAGAAGGAAAGGAGGGAGGGAAGTATGGGATGCTTAATTCCTGCCTTTATAGGTTTTAGATACCTAAATTGGCATGAGAGGAACACACACAGGAGGGTGGAAGGCTACACTGCATGGCCCCACTGTTCAGTGAGAGCTCCATCTCTGCTGGCAGCCTGGGAAGCCCTCAGAATACACCCTGCCCTGGCTGCCTGTTGGCACCCCACCTGGGGTGTCCAGTATGGGGCCGGTGGCTGCTGCAGTCTCCCTGCTACCTGTGCAGGGGATGTGCTGGGAGCTCGCCCAACTCTGGGAACGACGCAAGAAGCTCAGAAACAATTTTGGTTTTGTTTCCTGGAGTGCGCTGTCTGCGAGCTCATGTGGGAGGTAGCAAGGGAAGAGCAGAGCTTGGCGTTCAGTTTGTCTGGCTGGAGAGGCAGCTGGCATCCCTGAAGCCAGCATGGATAAATGCATCTCCTGTTAGCAGCAATGCAAAGGCTTTTCACAATGAAAGCAACCAAATGAAAACTAATCAAGAGTAGAGCAAAGAATGCCTGACAGTTCAATCAGTGCCTGTGTGTGTGCAGTCAGCACTAAACCTTGCCAACAGCCACAAAAAACGCTGTAGGTAGACAAGAAAATTCATCTAAACAGTAGTATATGCTGCATATTCCTTATGACAGCCACAGAGAAATCAAACTACAACTGATGAATCTTTCCTTAAACAAAATCCAACACCTTTTCAATGATGATGAGCAAATGCATCTTGTCTGATTAGAGACCATGCACCTACTTTTACCAATGCCTGCTCAAATGAGGAATTTAGCATGCAACCAACGGGTACTTTCCTTCCCAACCACAAGCTGCTTGGCTAGGAAGTCTGATAGGTAGCACTAACCTTTAGCTTGTCATAGCGCTCGCTTAAAGCTGCCACCTGATGGTCACGGTGTCGTCCGACCAGTTTACACAAGGCACAGATTAACTGGTCATCAGTCACGCAGTACATGTTCACTTTCTCGTCCTCGTGCTCCAAGCACATTAATCCTCTGATGTGAGAGTCCGGGATGGGCTCGATAAGACGGTGGCCGGTGAACGGCTTCTTGTTGGGGTGAGTGGCTTTCAGACACTCCTCACAGTAGGATACCTCGCAGGTAACGCAGGTTTTCACTGCCTCCTGAGCAGGGTCCTGGTCGCAGAACTGGCAGAGGACCTTCTCGCAAGATGACATGCTGTTGCTATCGAATGCCCGCTCCCGGCGGGTCTCGCTGGGGGAATTAGGCCCACTGACTGAGGCTTTCTGAAACCTGTCGATGATGTTCTGCAGGGTGACGTTACGCTTGAGCCCGTCTAGACCGCGCTGGCTGAGGGTGATGACATAGCGGCAGGTCGGGCACTGGAAGGCGGTGATTGACTCCACCGGCTCGTTGGTGGCGCAGTGGGAGACCAGGATGCGGTGCGCGCAGTTGAAGCAGAGGCTGTGAGCGCAAGGCAGCAGCAGCGGATCTTCAAACAGCTCCAGACAGATAGGGCAGGTCAGTTCCGACTCCAGTGTTTCCATCTTCAGGCAAAGCTTTCCTGTGGCGTCAGCGAAATCCAGGGAAGCTGATCAGCTATCTGGAAACACACGTAAAATTCAATTAGGCGAGATAGAACATGAGGGGTCAGCCATGGGGGGTTGTCATGTTTCGCCACTGCTCCCAGGGCTATCAACCCACCACGCCGGGCGGGAGAGCTATCTAAAGTTTTGAACCTGCACATGCATACATCAAGGTATTTAAACCCGGACTGCTTTATTCTTTTGTCTTGCCTCTGTTCATTGAAGAATGCAAAAGCTATGCTGCCGCTTATTTTTTTTTCTCTTTCCTTTTCTCTCTCATGCAATCCAGGAAAACAGCAGATGTTTCTGTGCATTATTAAAAACCAAAATGATGGCCTTCAAATAGTCTATGGCAGCAAAATTGGATTCTTTCTGCAGATGCTGCTTTTGGCTTCACTAATCTCCTAGTAAAACTTTTTTTAAAAAAACTTCACCTTTATAGAGCATTGTACAAAGATTAGTCTGAGTATAACCGATAACCTTAACTCTCTCACAATTAACAGTTATTTGCACAGATTGACATTTTGATTTTTTTCTTATAGCAACAGGACAGAATTTAGAGCACGTTTTCGTTTACATGTGTAAGTATACACCTGAATATATACAGGAAATAATGTTTCTAGGGAAGTATTTGTTGGTTTTACATATATATATGTCATATACTACTACATTCCTCCTACGTATTTCAAGAACATATGTAGCTGTATTTACACGTAACCTTATATTTCTGCATATGTACCTGTACACATATACACAAACAAATCTCTCACACACATTTGCAGAAAGACAGATACAGGCGCAGGACCACACAGTGTTTTAACTGAAACTCATAGAAAAAAAGTGGATGAATTAAAGAATAAACAGCAGCTTAGCCCAGATTTCTGATGATCCTAACCTACTGTACAAGAAAAGTCTCTAGAGAATAAGAGAGCGAAATGCGTCATTTGCTTAGGGGTTTTTGTGTGTGTGATCTTGCACTTTCATGTGAGTACTCTTTATTTCTAAAACTTGTGAACGACCACTTGTTTTAGTGAACTTTGGAATCACCTGAAGTAGATTAGGAATCAATGACTTTTAAATGGAAGGCATGGGATTTCCTGGAGAATGCAGCAGTACACCCTCATCAGAGATAAACTGAAACTTCATTCGCCTCCTTTCCTGCTCTCGGCGTTACAGAGAGCGGTTTTGAAAGAGTCGCCCTACGCAGCTCTCCCTGCCTAAGCTCCTGTCACGGGCCTGTCGCTGCCACAAGCAGACAGGTCACTGAAGCAGAAGCAAAAGCTATGCTTCACACTCACAGAGCCGTACCTCTTCACAGTACAATCTATTTAAGCTTTGTTGCTCATAGCTGAGGATGGCTTCAGATGGCACAGCTGCATCGCCTTTACACTGTAAAGTCATTGTTTGGTTGTGTGAACTCTTGCCTCCTCCCCTCACCAGGGAAAAGCAGGGACAGACAAGAACACTCCACCACCCCCTCCCCAATCAAATCTTGGTTCATTAAGGGTGAGGAGAACTCCAGGCTCATTAGCAGCCTTGGGAACCAAGCATGCTTGAGCCTTCTGTACTTCATGACAATTAGTGTGGGGAGCACGGTGGCAGTGATAGGAATGCTACCTATAACCCCAATATGAACCATGGCAAAAAGGAAAGTTCAGCAAACAGAGGCAAGGTTCAGACTGCCCATCAGTATTTAATCCTGCCTGCTCTGTGGGAAGAGCAGTACGGCGTCTCTTCCAGACACATGCTTAAAAATTAGGATATTTTGCCTCTTTGCACTAATGTGTCCTTTCATTCTGTCAAGAAAACTGAGCATTTAAAAAATGCACTGACCCCATCACAGAATTTGCTTTCCTGTATCTTCTGTGATGCTGATCTTATTTGAAATAAAGTTCAGTTTGCCAAAGACTAATTCATTTATAACTATTCATCAGCTTCCATAATTGCATGGTGCATCTGGCCGAAATTAAAGGCCTGGCAATTTGATATAAGCAAGAAAGCATTCCCTCCTCTCTCCTCAGCCATAGCCATACAGCACAGAAAAGATGAAAGCCTTTTCTGCAAATGGAAAACAGTTTGTCTTTCCTCCTCTTCACTCTTCGAATCACAGAAGTCCCAGAAGATCAAAATCTCATTCACAATGTTTGAATCTCTTCCACCTCACAACTGTGCACCTCATCATCTACTTATCCTGCAGGCTGAATGCTATGCTGGATATAGGTGAAGGGGATTTGAGGTTGGCAGGGGACATTTTAAAAAGGCAGACTAACTATTGTTCATCTATTGGTAGTCCAGTGAAAACCTGCCAACATTTTGGGTTCGTTTCTTTGAACGGTGTTTGGAATATGGGGTTTTCTTCCATGCTCTCCTCGCTGCTCAAAATCCCTCCTGCTCTGTCATGAGTCAAAAGGTTTCGTTCATTCAGTTTCCTTCTTAAAGAATGTTGTTGGTTTTTTTTAAACAAAGTTTTTTTTTATGGGACTCATATAAAAGTGAGGTACAGATAAAACTGGCAAAAGCACCCATCTGCATCACTGCCTCATGGAAAGATGTTTGAATCACTGTCATGGTTCTACACAAATACCACAGTCTCAATTGATGACTAATTCTGATCTATCTGACCTGAATGAGCAGCAGCTCAGCCCTGACTAATGCTATTCAGAATGAGCGAGGGTGCCAAACTCTGATCTTAGACTGTAAACATCTTGGAATAAGAGTCTATCTTCCAATGTAATCAAAGCTGAGTACACATCTGGGACTGAATAATGAATCCTTTAAGGAGCTGCATTTTCTGGGCAATCCAACCATTGCTTTTGATAATCAATTGCAATTCTGCTTTCACTATTAGATTGGTGCCTAAAGTAAAGAGTGTGCTGCTGATTCAACTACAAAATATTTCAAAGTCACTGGCTCTTGTCTTAGATTTCCATATTTAGCATTTCTTCTTTTCTTGAGAGTGTTAAGAGAATGCATAACTAAAAAAAACTGAAAGACTAGCCAGAAACTCAATGCACATGGTTTATATATGCACATTTGTATCCCATATCCAACATAAATTGAAAGCCAGTCTCCAGACACAGAACGGAAAAAAAAGGAATTTTGAGTACATAATTTCCTATTTTCAAAAACAGGGAATTACTGGCAGAAAATTATACTATTACCAAAATGTCATTGAAATGAGAAGTAGTATTTTTCTACCCACAAGAAGTTGTTTTAAGAATAGTAACAAAGTAAAAGTGATTGTCAAAAGACAAGTATTATTCAGAAATTAAAAAAAAAACAACAACACTTAAGTAACTTTGGATTTGTGACATCTCCCCAGCACATAACAATTAGGTATGAATTATGTGGTAAGCAATGCAGTAAATGAAATCCTGGTCTCACTTTACTTCATGGCAGGACTTCTGCTGTCCCTAGTGGAATTAATATATTTTTGCTTCTTTTGAGCACAACATATTTTGTAGGTGTACTGCCTTCACATGTACACAAGTGCACCTAAAACTTTTCAGAAGGAAAGAGACATGAGAAATTAAAATTAAAGCTGAAGCAGATAGATTTTAGTATGTTAAGTACCAGTAGAGTTGAATAGATTAAAAAATCTGTCAAAATGTTTCATAATTGAATGCTATGCTGCAAAAATGCTCTATTATACGTTCCACTTGTTTTATACTTGAAAAATTATGGATTAGAGTTACTACTAAAGTCTAGAAGTCTGTTACCACTGATCCCACTGAGCCCGTAGTAATTAAAGCCCAAAAACGCATTTCCTGAGGAAGACCTAAAATATGCAGTTCAACACTGTCTGAAACATTACCATTTATAGGAAAATCTCGTGATTTGGGGTCCCTGAAATCAGCTGAGGGCTGACTGAAGGATGACTCCTGATTTTTCATTGCTGGGAGTTCCAGTGTTACGGATGATCCCTATGTTTTAAGTACAGAAAACAGTGTGTAGAAGCAGCAAGATAAAAATACCAGAAAGTTTTCATCTGGGAGATTTCCATGAACCAGAACTGTAAGCATTTCCTCATAGGAAGAAACACACTGCTACATTCTGAAGAAATCACCTGCTGTTAGAAAGGTATTGCAAACCACACATTGCTATGTGAGGCTGTTCTCACAGCAAATAACCCTACATAGCTCCTGTACATGGGCTAGCACTCTTTCTGCACTCAAACAACAATCAGAAAATTGCAATAATGTCCAAAACAATTTTCCTAACCTCCTTGAGAAAAAGGCAAACATCCAGCAGTAATATCATAGGACCTGGTGATGCTACAGTAGTCAAATACTTGAAGAAGGTTAACAGCTTTCTTTAAAGTTGGATCTGGATAGGACATTTCAGTCTAGCTGGTAACACTCCTCAGAAAGGCAACTAGTGACCTGACATGGCCTTTATATTTATCTCTTTATCACTGCCCTTAACTGGTTGACCAATAATTGATTATTGATTATTATTTATATTTGTTGTATTAACAAAGTAATTATAATGTGATATTGTCAAAGAACATTCTTCACCTTAACTCTGTACCTTCAAGCTAGAACATGATTATTTCCATATTAACATCTTGTCTGAGGTAAAATGACTAAAATATAAAACTATACTTTATAAAAATGTATTAAAAATTCCAGTACACGTTTTGTCAGTAAAATGCTACAGAGTTTTTCCCAAACAGAATAAATCACTACTTATATGAATAAAGTTAGCAGGCAATGTTTTAGCCTGACATGTGTTGCCTCCTGCTCCTTTCCTATTTCAGCTGCTCCTACATCCTCCCAAGAAGGTGAGAAGAGAGTATGCCAGGAGTGGAAAAATGGTGGAAGAGGATGACTGATGAAGCTTTGCTTTCCACTCTAGTAAAGATGGAGCTTGTAGTATGAATTAAAGCTTTTTTTAAAGAATTCACATTTCAGTGAACTTTTAGGTTTTAGTGAACTCTGTGACATTTGAGGACAAAACTAAGCTGCAAGCCATTCTGCAACTCTTAAGCATCTTCATAACAAACAGCGAAAGAGCTG